CTCTGTAAACCGCTTAGAGAGGGCTGAAAGCCCTATGAAGCGGTATATAAGTCTAACTGCTATTGCTATTGCTAGCTTGGCTTCTATTTGCTAAGCAGGAAGAATCTGATGTTACTCCAAAAATGAGGAGCTCCAACTATTTCCTCACTATTTGTCCGATTGAATGGAGCTGTTAGACTGTTTCAGCAACTTTTGGTCTCCCAGAGATTTAAGGACCACCGTTCTTCAGTTTTGCAGAAAATAACTTGCTTTATGTAATCCAGGAGAGCAGCATTTATCTCTTACTTTCCCCACCCAGGTCTGGTTCCTTGGCAATGAAACACATCCAGGATTTAACAGGACAGTAGATGGAGACACGCATAGTCTGGAAACAACAGGACTCCCAAATGGGCATAAATACTGTGTGAAGGTAGCCGCAATCAATGGAGCAGGTGTTGGAGTAGCTAGCCATCCTGTATGTGGCACTGCAGGTCAGAAGTGGTGATTTTTGTCATTCCTTGAGACATAGACAACTATATTTCGGAAATTGTCTCCTTACACTTTTCCTATTTTACAGTAGTGTTTGTATAGTGGGGCACCCTTTGAAGGCATCCTTTTGGTTGCAGAGGCTCCATTTTAATATCTTAGTGCAATGGCAGATGTGATGCTAATATGAAATGGCAGGAACCCACCCATGGTGCGCGCGCTATCGCACGCACACGTATGCTCACACCAATTTAATCTCCCTGTCTACCTGCACATGTGTGTATGACACCCCCCTGCATATGTGCACATGATCCTTCCTCAGGCTCCGGAGGTTTTCCTGAGGTCTGGGGAGGGTGAAAACGGCCTCTCCTGGCCCTCCGCAGGCCCTCCAGAAGCCTGAAAAAGATCGTTTCTGAACTTCGGTTGGGCCATTGTGCCTGTTTTTTGCCCTCCCCAGCCTCCAGAAACTTTCCTGAAGCCTGGGGAGTATGAAAACGGCCTCCTCCGGCACTCCGGAAAGTCACAAGTCAGCTGGTTGGCATGTGCACACCCACACTGGAGCTGACAGCTGGTGTGCCAGCAAATACGGCTCCATGTGCCAGCTGTGGCACGAGTGCCATAGGTTTGTGTTCTGACCCCCCTCCTCCGTCCAGGAACGAAAGCCAAAAACCACGTAACTAAAAAGGTTTCTTTTAATCAGTCAAGACTCTCGTTGGCTGCAAGCCACATAAACAAAGAGATAAGCACACTGGCAGCAATGCACACAAACTCTGGCAGCAATCCAGCCTGCCAAGTTTGTTTCTGGTTAGTCCTTAACGTGAACATTGGGTGTGGCACAAGCAGTCTCTTTTATAATCAGGAGAGGATGTCACGCCCCACTCCATTCCATAATTAGGAAAGAAGACCAAGAGACTCCATGGGTTGGAAATCCAAAGTACTTTTA